ACACACACACACACACATTAACACAAAAACATACACACACACGTTCACACACACACACACACACACACACACACACACACACACACATATACACACATACACACACACACACATACACACACCGCAACCACCACCAACACCCTTAGAGGGGCACTTGAAAAGACTTGTTTGTCAAACCATTCTTTGTCTCTCTCAATGCAACAAGGACTGTTAATTATTTTTTCGACTTAAAAGTTGTTGAGGTTTTTTTTTTATTGTGGTTGCAGAAGATTGTACATCCCCTTTGACAAAATATTAAATGTCTGAGAAGGCAGGCTGCCTTGACCTTTCGAACCCTGCCTGTCAGGTCCAGCTGGAGCTGAAAGGGATACAATTCCCAAAGAGACCGAAGTAGATACTCAAAACAACAACAAAATTAACGCCTTCAAATAGGGGAATAGAGCTCACGTCTTTTGCGAGAGAAGGCTGGATACCTTCGCGCTACACCAGAAACACTAGTGGCTGAACACTGAAAAGGGCAATAATTACTTTATTTTGAAATGAATTAATCATTTGAGACGGGCGTTACTCACATTAGTTTCAAAGTAGGGGACACACTTTTTTCAGTTTTGCAGAACTTGTATAGGTGACAGCCATTCAGGTCTTGAAAGTGAAAGGGCAGGGTTAGGGAGGAGGGGGTGGAAGGGGGGGGGGGTAAAATAACTCAAACCTAGTTACAGTTTTTTGTGAGATATGCAGCGCACAATTTCCAGCCTCCTCTATGCCGTGGATAGTCCAGGATAAAAAGGCCTGCCCTTTTACATACTGGGAAGTTTTGAATAGTAGTTAAAATACTGACGGACTCTGATCAAAAGAACTCTACTCTGACACAAAATATTCAGTCCGCTTTAATCCAGTTGATCCTTATACTCCCGTGTCTGCGTTCCATCTCTCTCTACCCTTTTCCAAATCTTCCAAATCTGATTCTCCTCCTCCCCCTCCCTCCTCCTCCCTTTTCCCTCATGCCCAGATTCGTCATTCCTTCCAACATCAAAATGTAAACAGAAATTAGGGTTCTGTGTGTTTTTTACACTGTGTATGTGTGTGTGTGTATGTTTGTGTGTTTGAGAGAGAGAGAGAGAGAGAGAGAGAGAGAGAGAGAGAGAGAGAGTGTGTGTGTGTGGGGGGGGG